ATCATTTACTGTAACACCAAGACTTACGCCGGCTAGCGATTGTTGGTGACATATGAATATAGGGCTGCGTCAGTGTTGTTGGACGATCTGATTCGCGGACCGAGGAGCGCACAATACCTCCTCTAATGGGAGGTCATAAATAAAAACCGTAGGGGTAGGACCGAGGAGCGCAGAGGTACCTTGCGCTCCTCGGTCCTACCCGTGCAAGGAACTAATCCCCTACTTATACGGATTAAAAGAGACAATGGCTAGGTCGACCCTGCGAGTAAATTACTCCTCACTGAATATACCACTTAAAAGTGAAAATGAAAGGAGTAGTTTTGAAACTATAAATATTTTAACTTTTAACAGAGACAATGCAAGATACTGTATGAAGTATTCGAAAAAGTTATCTTAAAAACAATTTGTTTTTGTCCGACGTTAATCAGCCCATTTTAAATACAAACAAACTGCATATTTTTCTATGTGCAGATTAATACAAATTAAATATTTATCACTAAATAGTACGGAACTAAATTTTCATTATTTTATTATGATTAAAATCATATTATATTATGTGAGACAGGTAAACATTCTCTCTGCGTTTCAGAATTATTAAATAATGTACAGTATTTTGTTTTGTAGGTACAGTTTGTATAATTTTAAAATAGCTTTGAAGGCATGACGACTATTGCTTATAACATGCATGATTGTACATAATTTGTCTTGATCCTCTCTCTACCCGTGATTCACCCTTTGTCCTGCGGAAACACCTGAAATTTTCTCTCGTGGTTGAGTTAGGATATTGAATGACTCAATATACTACCGGACGTTCGTACTATTTAGAAGCAACGCATACCATTTTTGAAAGTAATTCTTAAGAACAACATATTATGTTGTGCATTTCCGGCTTAGGTGGGTGAGCCTATTGCTGAACGTGATATTTGCCAAATTACAATGTACCTGGGCTAAATTTACTTCAAAAAGTAGTGTTGTTCACATAGGCTTTGTCTAAACTTAAAAATACTTTTTTATAAGAATTACTTAGGTTTTCTGGAAGTATATTGTCGTAGTAGTATATTGTTGGGAATATCTGAAAGTAAATCGATGGGTTTGTTTCGTTTCGTTTCGTTTCTGTATTATTGCCGACGTAAAATTTTATCTAATGAAAACCTTTACCCTTAAGTTCCTATAATTAATTATTCCTAACTAATTAGACAAGCACAAATTCGTTTAATCAGAATTTACTTGGCTATTTCCCAAGTATGGTTTAAGCATCGTTATAGGTAGATGTTATAGACACCGGATTACGAATAAACATAAACATAATTACTCTATGTTAATGATGAATTAAAATAACAGTAACCAGCATGTACTCTGGACGGATTTATAAAAAAGATAAACTATAATAGAAATTAAAACAAGGTCTTAATTCAAGTAGTGTTACCATTTGCGAAGTAAATTATTTATAAAAATATAATAGAATAATTTATGAAGAAAATGATAATGATAATTCTTTTGAGTCTAGAATCAAATAAGAGGTTTATAAATCTTAAGTTATTGTCGTTCTTTCTGTACTGTAGCTTGAAATACATTAGGGGCAATAACCTGCCTGCTCTATCACGCAGGGGTTGATTTTTAAAATGTTTGGACAGTAATAATTGGTGATTTTTTCTCATTTGTATTAGAACAATAACACAATATGCCTCATTGTTAATTGATGAACAAACAATGATTTTATTGCTGGGAATGGTGAACTTACTACCTGTTGAAAATTGTAGTCGTAGGCATCTGGTACAAACTATTCGACCTATTGTTTGGTACAAATTATAAACAGTCAATATTTGGAAATGTAAAGGAATTATGAGTGAAGATCTTACATGGATGTCCCATACGATGACATCCAGGGGTGTTAATCCCCTACATTACTCCGAATGGATTTCATTTGCAATTTCTTAGATTTCCCTTTCACGACAGTCCATTCCAGTTTTTGGTGTTTCTGGTCACTCGGGTCAGTTTTGTAGGATCAATATTTAAGTTCAAATAACTAGAGTCTAATTGATATTGTTAAAAAAACATGTCCTCTTAACTCTTTATATTTCTTTTTTAAACTTTTTCACAATTCCAAAGTAGCTTTGTTTATATTTGAATGCAATATTGTTTTTTATTGTAATGTAATAATTTTTTGTGTCATATTTATGTTCACTGTAACTTTTTATTGTTTATATTTACCTTGTTTACTTATCGTCTAATAAGTGTTTGTTGTAAATAATCTTGTATTTTGTATACTGTATAATATGATATATGCAGTTCCATTTATGTTATATTCGAGAAGTTAAAAGAAGCATGTATCAAAATAGTCTTGAATGCCGTATATTTATGTATAATTTTGATTACCTTTTATATTTATTAATCAATGGAAAAATAAAATATTTCAATGGATAGGCGCGTTCTATATATCATAAAGAATATATGGTTTCTGTCCGTTGAAATTACCTATAGGCCTAAAACTAAGATGTAAAATTCAGGTTTGTTTTCTATCAATGGTGAGTACATGTTGAAAGCAATTAATTGTATTCATAGATTTATATTAACAGAATTTTACAAACCATTCCTGCATAAAAATTTTTTATCTTACTAATATTATAAATCTGAAAGTTTTTGAGTTTGTGCGTTTTTGTGTGTGTTGCTCAATCAAGCATAAACTACTGGACGAATTGGACTGAAATTTGGCATGATGATAGTTCACATTCCCGATTAACATTTAGGCATATTCTTATCTCAAAAATCCTTTCGGGCTCCGCCCCAGTGGCTCTGTAGTTCCCCATGTAACCTTATGAGTATTCATATTTAAAGGGAAGAATTTAGTCAGCTGTTTCAACTTTACAAGTTGGTTCTATAATATGCAATAGCATTAAAAAGTTATAGGATTTCCCAACAGGGTGCAGCACTATTTTTGTTTTGTTTTTGCATATATGACAACAGCTAATTTGAACTAAGCAGCTACAAAAAGCTGTGATACACAATGAGAATTGTCAAAGTAGGATTGTTTACAGTTAGGTTTGAGTTGTTAATTTAATGAATAATTTGTGATATTGTGCGAATGTTTGATAATATTTTTTTCTATTGTTTAGGTGCAGTGGTAGAAAATTATGGCAATGGTAGATGTGTTATACTATATCTTACCGTAAATTTATGAACCAAATTTTATCAAACTGTGTCCTCCCCCCATTGCAAACGCAAAGCTTGAGTATAACTGCAATAAGCATTTTATACATATATGCCAATCCCGTACGAAGGACGGGTGTTCTGCTAGTATTTAATAACGAGGGGACCCATTGCAAATTTGCTAATTTTAATAGGGTTCAACACATTTTCGAAGGTAAAACTAACGATGCAATACCCTTTTCTTTTCAAAGATTACGTTTGTTTTAAAGCAGTTATTAAAATTGAATAAACTTACTAATTTACAATCAATTCCATTGATTGATTTTAGATCCACACCATGAAGACACAAGTCGCCTACCTTATCCAAATCGCAATTATCAAAACGTAACCTATTTTACATACATTTTTATTAACAGTTTTATAAACAAAATCTCAATGTGGTTCAACATTCAGCTGAAGGATCAGCTTTTATATTGCAATTTAAATTCGAAAGTGAAAGTGTACGGTTTGGTAATTTGTTGATACAACATTAGTTTGGTAATAAGTTACGCTGGAAAAATATGCCCAAATCAATGGTGTAGTCAGTGAAGCGCGACTAATGGGATTTACTCGCAAGCATTGTCTTGTTCAACCCTCGTAAGTAGGGGATTAGTTTCTTGCCCGGGTCGGACCGAGGAGCGCAAGCACATCTGCGCTCCTTGGTCCTACCCCCGACGAATTCTTCGGCCGAGGGGTTGACAGTTTTACGACTTGCGCTCCTCTGTCCGTTTCCCGGACGATCTAGCTCCAGTAAATCTATACACTACTACACACACTATACAATAATTTAGTGTAACACCAAGGCTTATGCTGACTAGTGATTGTTGGGGACATATGAATATAGGGTTGTATCAGTGTTGTCCGACGATCTAGCTCTAGTAAATCTTTACACCACTATACACACTATACAATCATTTACTGTAACACCAAGGTTTACTCTGGCTAGCGATTGTTGGTGACATATGAATATAGGGTTGTGTCTGTGCTGTCGGACGATCTAGCTCTAATAAATCTATAAACCTTACACCACTATACACACTATACAATCATTTACTGTAGCACCAAGACTTACACTGACTAGCGATTGTTGGTGACGTATGAATATAGGGTTGTGTCTGTGCTGTCGGATGATCTAGCTCTAATAAATCTATACACCACTATACACACTATACAATCATTTACTGTAACACCAATTCTTACGCTGGTTATCTATTTTTGGGGACATATGAATATAGGGTTGTGTCAGTGTTGTCGGACGATCTAGCTCCAGTAAATCTAATCACTACCATACACACTATACAATCATTTACTGTAACACCAAGGCTTGTGCTGGCTAGCGATTGTTGGTCACATATGAATATAGGGTTGTATCAGTGTTGTCGGACGATCTAGCTCCGGTAAATCTATACTATACCATTATACACTCATATTGTATAAAGATAGCGATCACTTAAAAGCTATGTGCTAAAACAGCTGCATAACGTTATTTGCAAAAGAACTACTACAAATCCACGATTACGATCATTTTTCGTCATTTGGTATGTGACCAGAACTACGCCCGATTTCGAAGGATTTTAGAAACATCAGCTAGGTGGTTTTACTCCTCATCATAGTCTTTTTCAACACAATATTATTGTTCAATAGCACAAGGTCTGTTATGAGTGTAGAACTAAAAACATGATTAGTTATATTCATACTTGATCAGACCTGTGTAACAGGCAACACGTTTCAAACATATCAGACCGACAGTATCAAAGAACGTATGATGATTATTTACGATATTATTTGTGTAGATAGCTTATCACTCTATTGGACTCATGTGAATCATGTGTAGCTGGCTTTAACTAATGGTATGTAAGCCCTGCATTGTTTTAGTGGCTTTATTTACCTTACAGTTACAGTTGTTGTAGTTACAACAACTAGTAGTTGTAGTTGTGGTAGTTACAGTTGTTGAGTTTCTTTTTGCTATGCTTTATTTTCAAGGCAATATAAATGTTTTGCTAAAATATTATAGCACAGTCACAGAGATATACATGAACTACTAGTCTTGAAATTTAAATCAGTTTGTTTGTGAAGCATTTACTTGTAAAACGTTTTTTATGAACACTATTTTATTTTATTATTATGTCTTATTATATCTTTATGTTATTGTTTGATATTTTTCTATTCAATTGTGCATTGATGGTGTTAAACGATTAGAATAATTTAATATTTGTACTTGAGACAAATTACCCGACATTTAAAACTAATCAAATTTAGCTTGGAATTGTTAGTTAACTTCATTGGTAGTTCCTGTTACATTCTTACTATGTCTGCATTACAATTATTTACATTGTGTACCATTCCCAATCAATAGGTTAGTGAACCTGAAAATGAAACTCCAAAAAACAACGTCGAAGACCCTAAAGATGAAAAAGAAAAGGTTACAAAATTTGAAGATGTGGAAGAGAAGATTTTGGTGTATGGTTCAAACAGGACCGTCACGCCAGAAGATAAAGATAAAGAAAAAGAAATTAAAAAGATAAAACCTTTGAAAATGGTGACGAGGGAGCAATGGGGGGCAGACCCTCCTACAAGACTGAACCCATTTGTGGGAGTGGCGCAAAGTGTTCGGCTTATTTTTACCGACTCCAAACCTTGCCGGAGTAAGAAAACGTGTATTAAAGTGATCAAGAAACTGCAAAGAACTCACATGCGCCAAGGGCTGTCAGATATTGCATATAAGTGAGTAGGAGACATGATCATTTGTGTAACTATTGCGCAAAGTGGCACTTTGCTGCAGTTGAGAGAAAGCAGCAAACGCGGAAAGTTTTTCGAGTGCAGCAAAGAGACTTTGCGCTCACGTTGTAGATTATATTTTCCCTACAGTGACCTGACAAAGCGGGCTTTCTAGTCCTGATTATAGCTCGGAAAATAGCTAATTGCTGCATTTTTTTACTTTTGCCACACTCCAGTATTCCAACCAAACAACACAAAACCGTGTGCTTTTATTAGGCACGTAATACGTATACGCTTGAAAATAAATTGGCAACATTTAAAGTTACTACGACTACGATCAGCTGGTGCATCGTTTCCCATTTCGTTCAACCCTTGGATTTAACCTAACCTAAAAAGTGTTTTTTAGTGTTTGAAAGACTAATTATTTCTTTGCGTTATAGTAACTGTAGGAAAAATATAAACACGAATATAATAATATATAATTATACATAGGTATAATATATATATAATTAATAATTATATATATATATATTATAGCCTATATATAATAATATACTGAGATAATACACTGAACCATCTGGTGGATTTAGCAGTGGCGCCAACTTGTTTTCAAGCATACCCGTATTACGTGTCTAATACAAGCACACTATTTTGTGATGTTTGGTTAAAATACTGGGGTGAGGGAAAGTAAAATTAGTGCGACAAAGTAAGTAAATGTAATCCGCTACTTTGCGTTCTATAATCAGTCCAACATAAGCCCCCTTTGTCAATTAACTGTAGGCAAAGTATATTTTAAATACCTCAAATACATGTAGTAAAACAAAGTTCATGATACCTTCCTAATGTTCTAAAGCAATTATCTAACAACTGATCTTACAGGTACCATGAATGTAGAATATTCATGAATATTCGCTGTGCATGACTATCTTAAAAGGTTTTACTAATTTAGATTATTTACAAACAATGTAGATCTGGAACAAACACAATATTCATTTTAAAATATCTTGATTTTACATCAACTTTTAAGTTATTAAAAAATTTTCAATCATGTACAGAAATATATCTTTTGTAAATTATAAGTTGCTGATAATCTCATTACTTTAATTTATTTTTTATTATTACATACGAAACGCTCTATAACAAAATTTAAGGGAGATGTAGGTTATACCACTTACAACATTACCCCACACAATATTATACGTCAAACCTCTTATTTGTTTATCGTAGCAAATCTATCTTATTAAGCCAGCAAAACTATTATACGTAATTGAAACAAAAAGGTGGTAAAATAAAATCAGTTAAATTTATTTCTGTACGAATGATGATTTGTATTCTTTAGTTTTCTGATTGGAGGAGATATACGCGTCTACGAGGGTCGTGGATGGAAGGAGCATCCAGGCATGACAGTAGGCACGCAGAACTTTAGGACTTGTGATGACTTGGTGGTCGCCTACGTTGGAACATTTGATGGTAAACGAAGGATAAACAATATACCTAAGCTATTAATATATTAGTCATAGGTGTTCCATCATAGGTACTCTACAGATGTGTACTTCCTTTTAAGCTGACGACGGATGATTCAGGCAGGTATACAGAATCAGTATATACACACTGCGTTTTGATCTCATTTATGTCTTGTTACCAACTTTTAAACTACATTATTTTATCCTATGGAAGAGATTTTTTACCAACTATCACTTGTCCTCGGGTAGTTTTACCAACGAGTGTAAAAATGAGAAAAACATTCAGTCGACTAGTATTCAAAGAGTGGCCGGTTAGATTGTACAACACAATTGACCGGTGAGAAGTGTAATTGCACCACGACGTTTTCTACTCTTAATTACTGACAGTACTTAGGCCTACTTATGCTGCCACTAACATACAAGTTGAGTTTTGGCCTCGCCAACAAGTTGCCTCCAGACTCTTCGTGTCCCTTGCCATCATGTCCACTTCTCAGAGTAGTCTTCCCCATCTAAAGTCTAATGTTAAGTCATCTAATGTTATCGTTTCAGTAAAGTTAGTTGTTATTGTTTTCAGACAACATGGAGTACCCAGAGATGGCTGACAAGGCACTGGAGGTGCTTGACTACGGCTGGGCCTGCGGGTACATGACAGGTGATATCGCTTCTAGTGGAGGACAAGCGCCCCCAGCGTCATTTGCCAACACCGGCATTGACATCCCTTACCGACCTGAGTCCATGTATGCATCCACATACGACTAACTGGAAACAAATAACATTATTTTGCATAATACCTTTTATTAAATTACAAGATAGTAACATAATTTGAAATATTTACCAGGACTGTTCGACTTTCAGATTTTAATAAAATTGGTTAAGTGTTGTATGTTTGTTTGATTTTATACCAGCAGGTGGAACCCACTTAACCTTCCTTTATGTACGTGCCCTAGTGTACGTGGATGGTATCATTTTAACAAGCAGGGTGCCCAGAGGGGCCAGGGGGAACTGTGGCATGCTTGCGCCACAGGAACTTTTAGGGGGTTTTATGAGGGGATTTTGGGAGGACATTTTCTGCTAGCTGTCACAATGGATTTATATAATTTTGTATAAGCAGCCCTACATTTGTTTGTGTCAGGATGTGAATTTCATCGTGTTGGCACAAACAACTGAATGAAAACATCGATCAATGTATCGATTATTCGATATTTTCATTCGGTCGTTTGTGCCAACAGATATGGTCTATCCGATTAATTCCTTGAACAAATTAATTGCATGTATTTGCCAAACGAGCTATTATACCTCATATCATGTCATGGACAGAGCTGTGCAAATTTCTTTCGTTTTGTATAAGCAGCACCACAAAGATGTTATTGATCGATGATCTATCAAATATAAATCACTAGAGCTCTGCTGTAGGCTGAATCTTTATCCCTAAATCAACTTTGAGTACCACCAAGCAACCCCTGAAGTTTATTCCTCAGATCAGTCGGAAAAAGTATAACGTTAAAACTTAAATAATAATTCGTTTCCACTTTCATTAACTGAAAAGTTGTATCAAAATCAGAGTCACCAGGAAAAAGGGTGGGAAAATATTTTAGACAACTTCATATTTTTTTTAAACCCCGCCTTACACGATCGTATCTCGTTGCACTATGTTTTGAGAATCCCATTTTGAATAAATATTGTGGATCTAATTACCTGACAAGGTAGTTGTGGAAGCGATTGACTTACATTATAACAGTAGTTCAAGCCTACTCGCCGGAAGTCACGTAGAAAATTATCTTCATTGTAGCTGACAGTGCTCCAGAAGCTGACAGTTTGAGTTTCTTAACATTATAATGTGGTCTCTTAAAAATATTTATACATGATTGCATTGTTAGAAGAACATATATTTATTCTTGATTTGTTCACAAAAAATTCAGTGAAATTTAGCACATACTCGCTGAATGGTGGTGGTTTGAAAGCGACCCTGTCTGTACATATCACATTAAGTCGATTCCCTTAATGAAATTGTTAAGAAAGTAAGTTTGGTTTTTTGTCATTTTGCTAAATTTCTTAAATAGTATTAATGATTAGGCTCATTATTTTTATCAATTATACCTTTGTTGACAATTTCATGATAAAATTGGGGTGTTAGGGGTTTTGGATTTAAAATTATATCAATGTCAGGCTTTGGTACACAAAAGCCATACAAGTTCCACTAGCTGACAGGGGGATATTTGCTGCTTGCACAATATTAAATTGGTTTTACCCATCGAAATTTGCATGCTATTTATAATTTATGCAATCTCATATTTTTATAAAATGATTTAAATTTTTTAACTAATAAGCCAAATTATCTTAAAAAAAATATTTTTTGTTAAATATATATATTTTTAATGTAAATATTTTTATTTTAAGATATACCAAATACATTTTCTTAATAACGTTTTACATAATTTTATAATTTAATTATTAAGTTAGATTTTATTCGTCTTATAAATTATAAAACCCTTAGGTTTAGCAGCTATATAGTAGGCCCTATATAGTACATTTATAGTTCCAGTGTCAGCTACTGGGACAACTGACAGTCAGCTACTGGTACAAGCACTTTTTCACTGTCAGCCACTGGAACACGTACAATGGTTGAATTAAGTTTAAAAATGTTATAAAATATATTTAAAAACCCCTTTTTGTATGACAAATTTGAAAACTACACTAAATTTAGAATCACATAAAATCCGTAATATCTCTTTAGTTCCTTTTTATTCAAAACCACGGATTATTGCGTATAGTTTCTTATACTGTCAGCTACTGGTGCGTTTACCTATGTAATATTTTCAAACATAATGATTTATCAATAGTAATATAATTCTATTAGTTCATTGAGCGGAGCGAGCGAAGCGAGCGTAGCTCTTTGGGATCAACTTCAATGCAACAAATAGAAAAACATCACTCAATAACGGCTGAACGCATTTCAGCCAAACTTAACAAAATTACTTAGACTAATAGTAAGATGGTTTTTAAACAAGCAAATTTCAATTAGATAATACTAATGCAATTTAAAACGAACTTAAAATTTCCAATTTTTAACATTAGGCTTATGGGACTAAAGTAGCCATATGACAGTTTTTTGTTTACAAGAAAAATGTAAACAAGAGAATCATAAGGTATTTCTTAACTTTCTAGACTTTTCTTTTAAACGTTTTTAAACCATTCCTATGATTTAAATAAACAAGAAAATGTCGTTAAAAAATTTTTTCAAGGCGCGGAATTCACTGAAAATTGAGAAAATATACGGAACTACTTTCTCAATGCGCGGAGCATAAACAAGGAGCGGAGGGATACAGACCGCGGTGACTACTTTCTTGGGAACCTATTTGGGGTCTGACTTAAGGGGAGGTACAAATGAGGCATTTAGTTCAAAATTCCTCCGTGAACAGCGCTGTAGTAGAGAGCACTTTGGCAATAAAGGTTTACTAATCGCAAAAATAGTTCTGTTCATAAAATAAAATTATAAATGCCTCAAATTCAATTTTACTATTTTTAATTATAAAATTAAACTATCATAACCTAACCAAACTAACCAAACTTGCTGATAAAGAAATAATATAACAAAAGTTTAGTAAACGGAAAAATAATTCTGTTTATTAAATAAAACTAGAAATTGCTCAATTAAAATTTTATAATGACTTAATAATAAAATTAAACTGTAATAACCAAACCAAACCAACCAAACTTGCTGATAATAAAAAATCTTGGACAAAAAGTTAATGCTACCAGCGGGATTCGAACCCGGCATCTACAGAATACCAGCCCGGCACGCTAACCATTGGACCACCGAGGCCGATGACTATCGAACGTTTTGTTACGGTAATGGCGTTCCCTCAGCTAATAAGAAGCCCTCAGCTGTTATCGTAGCCTCTTCTATACCTCCCCTGAGTAAATACCACCTATTTGTGTTGCCAGCTGACTAGAATTTAGAAACAGCCAATGTTAGAAATCAGAATCTAATAAGCGATATATCGAACCGCATCGAAATCGATATCCGATAATACCTCACAGGTTATATTATGTTGAATTACATCGACGGTGCAGTAAGTTATTACACTTACAGGGTTACATGGCAGAAAAACCTACTTTACTTTTTACGTTCAAGAAACAACGAAATAAAAACTTTACATCACGTGTTGCGACCGTCGTGAAGTTAGCGGCTCTTTTCATCAGCGCTTTTTCGGTTTGTAATAGATGTGGGTTGGTACGCCTGCGGAAGCCACAAACGTGTTTTGCAGGGATGTCGGAAACACAAATCAATGACAATACGATGCGAAATGATGTTTTTATATTTATATAATGTCAATAATACATTGATAAAACGTGTATACAAGTTAAAACTAATTAATTGACGTATTTTAAAAGGCATATTTGAGACCGTACTGTACATTATACGTAGCTAAGGCTTAACATAACGCGAACAATTAAAACTCCGAACATAAAAAGTGCATAATCTTTTTTCCCAAGCCCATCACATCAACTTTGAGCTATTCTAATGGTAATACACAATGTGTAGAATACTCAGTGTAAATATGATTGAGGCAGTCCAGTGAATTACGAAGCTATAAGGCAAAATCTATATGGTTGATAGGAACTCGCATCAGGAAAAAGTGCACAATCTTTTTCCTTAGTCCATCACATCAACTTTGATGTATTCTAATGGTAATATACAATGTGTAGAATACTCAGTATACATATGATTGCGGCAGTCCAGTGAATTACGAAGTTATATGGCAAAATGTATATGGTTGATAAGAACTCGCATCAGGAAAAGTGCACAATCTTTTTCCTAAGCCCATCACATCAACTTTGAGGTATTCTAATGGTAATATACAATGTGTAGAACACTCAGTATAAATATGATTGAGGCAGTCCAGTAAATTACGAAGTTATATGGCAAAATGTATATGGTTGGTAGGAACTCGCATCAGGAAAAGTGCACAATCTTTTTCCTAAGCCCATCACATCAACTTTGATGTATTCTAATGCTAATATACAATGTATAGAATAATCAGTATGAGTATGATTGCGGCAGTCCAGTGAATTACGAAGCTATAAGGCAAAATCTATATGGTTGATAGGAATTTGCGTCAGGAAAAGTGCACAATCTTTTTCCTATGCCCATCACATCAATTTTGAGGTATTCTAATGGTAATATACAATGTTTAGAATAATCAGTATGAGTATGATTGCGGCAGTCCAGTGAATTACGAAGTTATATGGCAAAATGTATATGGTTGATAGAAACTCGCATAAGGAAAAGTGCACAATCTTTTTCCTAAGCCCATCACATCAACTTTGAGGTATTCTAATGCAAATATACAATGTATAGAATAATCAGTATGAGTATGATTGCGGCAGTCCAGTGAATTACGAAGTTATATGGCAAAATGTATATGGTTGATAGGAACTCGCATCAGGAAAAGTGCACAATCTTTTTCCTAAGCCCATCACATCAACTTTGAGGTATTCTAATGCTAATATACAATGTATAGAATAATCAGTATGAGTATGATTGCGGCAGTCCAGTGAATTACGAAGCTATAAGGCAAAATCTATATGGTTGATAGGAATTTGCGTCAGGAAAAGTGCACAATCTTTTTCCTAAGCCCATCACATCAACTTTGATGTATTCTAATGCTAATATACAATGTATAGAATAATCAGTATGAATATGATTGAGGCAGTCCAGTGAATTACGAAGCTATAAGGCAAAATCTATATGGTTGATAGGAATTTGCGTCAGGAAAAGTGCACAATCTTTTTCCTAAGCCCATCACATCAATTTTGAGGTATTCTAATGGTAATATACAATGTTTA